TCGCCCGATTCTGCGCAAAAAGATGTTAAAGGGAAAGAATTTGCCTCCCACGTTAGATAGCCTGGTTTGAATCCAAGTGGGTCTAAAGAAAAAGGCTTGCCTCATATGTCAGATTACCTGATTTGATCCTGTCTAAGTTTATGGTAAGGGGATTACCTGCCATGCCCAATAACCTGGTTCAGTCTTCAATTTGTACAAGCTTGGTTGAATGATAAGTTTTGAGTGGTTATTTGCTTTGCCCCCTGCCCCCCGCCAGAAATGTTCACGCTTCTAATCCTACCGTTGGTGGAATTTAGGGCCTGTTGTGTTTTTCTGTCTTAATAATTCAGTTTGGACGGGTCTTCTCCCACTGCTTACTCTTATTTGTTTTAGTGGAGCATAAAAATGTTACAATCTTTTGCCATCAATTTCCAATCACTTACCATCACTTACCATCTTTATCCATCATTTACCATAATCCACAGTTGTTTACTATCACTTACAATCAGCTACATTCGTCTTATCTCATTTGATATCAATTACGGTCATGTGCCATCATTTTCCATCATTTACCGTCTTTTCCAATTTTTTACTATCATTTTCCATCATTTACCATCTTTACAATCTTTTGCAACCATTTTCCATCACTTACAATCTTTTCATTCGTATACCATCAGTTACCATCTTTACCAATCAGTTACAATAATTTATCATCCCTTATTGTCATTTACCTCTGTCTACAATCATGTACCGTTATTTATGATCTTTTACAATAATTTGCAATGATTTGCTATCATTTACAGTCTTTCACAACCATTTTCCATCCCTCCAGGTGAGAGACGTTGACCCATGGGCACAGAGCATTGTGGGTAGTGCCGTCATCCAGCTGTATAACGGCGACGCCCCCCTGCAAGCCTCTTCCTCCTGTCCTGCTCCCTGCCTGGAATGTCTGTACATGTTCAACTACATGAAATACTGGTTAGTATCTTCTTTATTGTCCACATGCGGGTTGGAGCAACCGGCCTCCTAATTTTGAATGTCCGTTATTGTGGTGTCCATGCACTTCTCTTTACTCCAAACAAACTAGGTCTTCTGTATGGAATGTCTGCACATGCTCAACTATATGAAATACTGGTTGGTTTCTTGTTTTATACTAAAGGTTTTAAGCAGCCTGCCCCCCCCCCCCAAATTAGCTAAATAGTTTTGATGGGGGTGTAAAAATTCTTTCACAATTAAAAGAAAGGCATTTTTGTAATAGCAACTTTTTCCTTGTGTTTGACGTTTCAGTTTTGAGTACTTTCTCATTGTGTTTGTTTTTTTTAATGTAAAAGGTACTCAGGTACATTCTCCTCGTGTTTGACTGTTCTGTATTTTCTACTTTCTTTTTGTGTTTGACATTACTGTTTTGAGTACTTTCTCCTTGTGATTGACATTTGTGTATTAAGTACTTTCTATCTTTGTTTGACACTTTTGTATTGGGTACATTCTATCTCTATTTGACAGTTCTGTATTAGGCACGTTCTCCATGTGTTTGACATTACTATTTTGAGTACTTTCTATCTTTGTTTGACACTTTTGCGTTGAGTACTTTCTATCTTTGCTTGACATTTCTGTTTTGGGTACTTCTCCGTGGGTGGTTGGCGGATGCTCTGGTTTGGTTTGCTTCTTCTTTCCTATGAAACATCTATCGTCCTTATCTCCCCTTCTTCTTTTTTTATGTTTGTCTCTCTCTTGTAACTCCTCTAATCTTCTGGCACTCATATGACCTTTTGCAGTCGCGAGCACCGTAAAACCTCTGCTAAAGCTTCTGGGTACTTTCTCCCTTTATTTGACAGTACTGTTTTGAGTACTTTCTCCTTGTGGTTGTCATTTCTGTATTGGGTATTTTCTTCTTGTGTTTATTTTTTACGTAATTGGTACTTTCTCCCTGTGTTTGACGTTTCTTGATCAGGTACTCTGTTTTCACAGGTATGTCCCAGGTGATGTGGTCATTGGTGCTATTTTTGATGTCCACTATGCCGGGTCAGGTCCATTTATGTGTGGAGCCGTCAGAAAGTGGAATGGAGCTCTGTACACAGAAGTCTTTAACTTTGCTTTGTCCAGAATCAACTCAGGGGCTGCCTCAGTCAAACTTGACAACTTCAAACTGGGAGGTCTCGCGGTTGATGGGTGTTCAAACCCCATTCGCTCCACAGCCATTGTGAACCGGGTTCTGACGGGGATGGACATTCGGTCGGCAGCCAGTGGGGAGATGTTTGATTCCAACTCTCTGGTGTCGTGGATGACCTATGACAGTCAAACAACTATTGACACCGCTAGGCTGTTGCAGGCTTTAAACATGCCTGTTGTGAGCCCAGGGGCAACAGCGTTAGCCCTCAACGACAAAAAGGAGTTTTATACCTTCTTCCGTACGATTCCCTCTGACTCTCTTGTGGTGAAAGGAATGGCTGATTTCATCAATGCAATGGGCTGGAAATACGTGCTGGTACTGAATAGCCCAGATGAAACGAATCGAGAAGCCAAAGATCTCTTTAAGAAGCATCTGGAGGGATTCGGGATTTGTGTCGTGGCCTCGTACGAGTTTCAGACGGATGGATCAAACGAGGTCATCATCCGAGGAATAGATGAAGCCGACACACAAATCGTGGCCGTTTTCTCTGAGCCAGATCGCTACATTGAGAGTTTCATCACTAAAAAATCCAACACTCTCACATCCACCCCGCTGACTTACATTGCCAACAGGAGGTGGGGAAGGTTTACGGAACAGTTCATCAACACGGCCACTGATGTGTCGCTGGTCAACTCTGTGTTCTTTGACCTGGACAGCCCAACCATCGCGGAGTTCACCAACTATCTCAATGGGCGTGACGCGCTAACGACTGACAACAACCCCTGGTTCCAGGAGATCTATGAGGAGGTCATGGGCTGCAACTTGCCGGGGTCTTTCATCCCAGGCCGGGGGAACTGTGATACCACAAAGTAAGTCACGTGTAGACTGCCAAAAATCTTGTCAGTCTGTTAGTGTTAGAACGCTTGATCAGATACTTGCACTGTATGCTTCCCAGAAAACCGAGAATGTTTCTGAATGTTGTAGGGTCAGCTGGGGTAATTGCGATAAACAAATGCTATTTTAGTAATTATTATTAAATGTTTGTCTCTCGCAGTCCCATGTTATTGCAACAAAGTCTGTCCCATTTTATGATAAGATGGTAGCATAGCGATTTTACCATATCCTTGGTGTTCTGCTCGAACTATGTAAATGTTTTCTACAAAATTATGAAGAGGCAAAAACGCTCCCGTATGATTAAAATGGTGAGAGAAAGCACAAATTTAGCCCATAGTACTTTAATACTAATTGTAGTACATGCTCGATCCTGATTTTTATTGAGGGCGGCCTGCAGATTGACCCCGGCAGTGGTTGTGGGACAAAAAAAAAGTTGACTTATTTCTTCCTGTTATATGGGTAGAGCATAACATCATCGATATTGTAATATTGTTGTATATTGATGGTGATGAACAGAAAATATCAGTCTGAAACTATTTTCCAGTTCTTAAAAAAATCCTGCGTTCTTGTTTTTTTTCTCCAAAAATTAAAAATTGGAAAACATTTACCGATAGCTCTTATTCTATTAGATAATGAAAGTAAAGAGACGGAATTCAGTGGGTTTTTTTATAGTCTCCCTTTTCAAGAAGCATTTTCTTGGATCGCCACTCTGTAATCAGCACCATTCAGTATCATAATTATTAGCTTTTTTGCAAGCTTAAAGAATGCTGTTTGATTAAAGATTTTGCTTATTTTAAGTACTCAGTTTTTTTTTTTTTAATTTTCAGGAAAATATTCACGCTTATTATTGTGCTGCTTGATTTAGTTTTTTAAATTTCAGCTTTTTACGCTTGACTCTGACAGTTATTGTCTTTTTTCAATTTCTTTTTGTGGGGATATTGTAATTTTGCAGAGAGATGTGTTTTTTTTGTGGGGATTCTATAGTTTTGCAAAGTGACATGCCTTCATAAGAATGTCAGCACATTCTCTGAAAAATTATGAAAAAAAAAAAAAGAAAAATATAAATGAATTGTCATTGTATCTATTTATTGTTGGAAACTTGTTGGTGAGCGATAAAGGGTGTAAAGCAGTCACTATCATGCTGGAGGATGACATTCAAGTAAAGTGATTCTGTTTAGGTCACATATATTCTTTATACCAGTTTTTGCTTGTGTATAGCATTGTTTTCATTTGTTGAAGCTGAAGCAAATTGCCAAATGATTTTTTATATTATTCCTGAGTCCAATTTGGTTTGTTTCATGTTATTATTAGTGTGTGTGAGAACAAGAATGGTCTAACTAACTTCTCTTTGTATAGTATCGAGGAAAGGAAAAAAAGGAATTTCCTTTCTCAGAAAAATAAGAGCTGTGAGTTAAATCCTGGTCCTATAAGAAGAAAATCTTCCAAAATAAACACTTACACAAATTACACCTTTATATAATGACTGAGAGATATGACAGAGCATTCTTCTGTTTTTGTAATAGGTCAAAGATGGAGATCCGCCCATTCTTATTTTCAAGGGCATGTTTTGCTTTATTAAAACCCTTGTGCACTTTCGCCTGCCAGGCTAAGTGTTAGGAATATGTCACTGGTCTGCTTTTATTTGGCCTCCTTATGTCTGTGTACACTTGGCTCAGTTTGTTGTTCTGAATGTTTGTTACAATCAAAGATAGTACATAACAAGATGGGCCACTCAGCCACAAAAGTGTCCGCCGGAAGTTTGCTCTTTGCTTCAGATGGCGCTGCAGTCTGTTTTGAAGCCCTCTTTCGTTTTTCCAGAAGAAGAATAGGAATAGCACCTCCTTGCGTGCGAAGATCGACTGCTGTTCATCAGCAGTTCGGGTTCGTTCAGTGCGGAGTTTTAGTTGTTTTTTTATTTTAATGACCTCCCTCCTTTCATTCTAAAGTCAAATGAAACAAAGAAAACAATCACCCTTTCCTCCGGAAGAGGTTTTTTGTCCGCGTAACCATTTTAAAAAGTCGTTCTTCCGAAATCTATTCAAAAACTTGCTGGTTTCACTTTGATTTTTTAAACTCAAGTAGGGTAACTCTGTTCTCAAAGGGTGCGCATTTGCGAAGAGGGTGCCACCGAATTTTGAGGACACTTTTTAATTGGCTCAAAGAGAGAAGTGGCCTCTCTTGTTATGTAGACTCTTTGTTACAATGCAAGTGGTATTTAGGGGGTGTACTAGCAGGTTTTTCTTCTTTACATTCTTCTCTGGTTTACGTCTGTCTGTCTTTCTTGCTTTTTCAACGCTGTGAAATGGCAGTGATTGTGTTTGTTGTCTCTGTTTGTGCGAATGGTTGGAGGGTGCCGGTGGGAGGTTGTAGGGACAACTTCTTTTCTTTCCCCTTGTTGTTGTTTCTGTCTGTGGTGTGGAGGATTGCGGGAGGGCATCATTATATTTGTTTGTCTTACTACTTTTCTTTTCTCTCCCTCTGTTGTTTTTGTCCGTGGGAGGGCATCATTATACTTGACAGTCGTGCTACTTTTATTTCCTTCTATTGTTTTTGTCTATGGGAGGGCATCATTATATTTGTTGGTCCTACTGCTTTGCTTTTCTTTCTCTGTGTTGTTTTTGTCCGTGGGAGGGCATCATTATATTTGAAGGTCCTGCTACTTTTATTTCCGTCTATTGTTTTTGTCTATGGGAGGGCATCATTATATGAAGGTCCTGCTACTTTTATTTCCGTCTATTGTTTTTGTCTATGGGAGGGCATCATTATATTATTTGAAGGTCTTCTAACTACCTTTCTCTCTCTCTCTCTCCCCTCCTCCCCCCCTATTTGGTTCTGTCTTTCTTGCCTTTTAAATACTGCACTAAATAACAGTTTTTGTGTCAATGTGCTTCTCTTTTTCGCTCTTACCAACTCGGTTGCAAGTGCTTTTATGTAATTTTGCTTTAAAGTAGACTTTGTCTAGAGCTTCAGTCACTGTTTTGTAATTTCAGCTCAAGGCGCTTCAAGTGAGTCAAATAATGATTTTTCTCGCATGTAGCTAGATGCTTTTTCTGCTCTTGGTTTCTCACGCATGTTGTTTTCTGTGCTTTTTTTTTTTTGGTTACGGTTTCATGAACGCTTGTCTTTTATTTTTTAGTTATTTTTGTTTGTCTGATTGTCAGTACTTTTAATGACACTAATTCAATTTTTTTTTACAGACTGTACTATTTACATTAGCTTTTTAAGAAAAATTTATACAAAGTTGCACGTTTTGGTAGATACATCATTTGCATGAGGGATAGGGTATGCTCTTTCAAATTCTTTTTTTCCTTTTAATATCTGTCTGTTTATTTTTTACGTATACCACACACATACATACATACACATGCTCTCTTACAAATACAAACACACTCTCAAACACATGCACTCACACACACTCTCTCTCACTCACACACTCGGGCACATACACTCGCACA